ATTGTCAGTAATTCAATTCAGAGTGTTGAGATGCAAGAAACGTGAAATGACTTGTAAAACAGACAGCCCTGGTTTGAGAAGATCCTATACACTTTATCCTTTTTTTTGGTGTGTTTGTGGTCTAATTAATATATGATAAAACCTGTAGGCCAAAGTCTTTGAGGAAGAAGGAGGAACAGGTAAGTGCTTTGTTAATAATTCAGAAAATACTCTGCCTCTGCCTAATGATCTCTGTCTGTTCCTAGATCAGTTTTGACCAGATCGCACACTTTTTGGTCAGCAATGACTTGTTATTTTTTTTTTTTTTTTTCCCTTCTTTGTTGGTGTTGTGCTAGAGGAGAAAAGTGATGGAAAATATTGCTTTAAGTCATCACATGAAAACAGACAATAAAGCCTCAGAGAAACAAATATGTGTACTGCCTGTTATAGATAATTAGTACTTTATTAATAATCTTTTTTTCTATGTTTAGAGTTTATCTGATTGTAAAATAATGAATACCTGCAGAGAAATGTGACAGAGGAGTTCCTTATTTAGTGGACTGGAAGCCAGGTTTAACCCCAAATGTCCCAGCTGTACTGTCAGTTGTCATTGTATTGCTTGTAAATTAGTTTGGGTAGTCTTGTAAAAGGAGCCATGTGTCAAAATCTAGTTCTAACACTTGTAGTACTGTAGTTTATATCGCGCTAAAATGGTACATAATGATTGTAAATCTAACCTACACTAAACTGACTGTTTTGGACAGTTGGGCGCAGCTGAAACAAGCTGTGAATACGTCATTAGTTGATGTATTATGAGACAACATATTGTGTTTTAATTGTCCCCCACTGGCCTGAAAATCAGTTAATGCAGGTTTAATGTTTTATTATTGATTTTGACCTTTTAAGGGCCCGATGACAAATGGAAAAATCGCGTCTGATAATACATCCGCTAATATTACAGAGAATAAGCCCCTTTTCTATTAAAAGAAAAGCACATTTTTACAGCTGACCATTTATTCATCTACAGTAAAGCTGGAACTAAAATAAATTTGTCTATAGCTGAATGCAGAAATTAGCTTGTTTCTGAGCCAGTGTGGTGAGGAAGAACAGGAATTGCATCTCCTTGCTGATATGCCCTGGAGATACTGCACACACTTGGACTCAAAGCTATTTATTTACGAGGCAGCATGTAGGTTAACCAAGAATTGAGGAAACTTGAAAGTCGACTTTACTCCCATGGCCCTCTGCATCTCGCTGTGACCGGCCCACGACCCCACTGGCCTTCCCTCCATCTCCAGGCAGAGAGCTACATCATCAACCGGTGGTCCCGCACTTAAGCTCTTATTACAACAATCACACTACTCACTTCTGAAAAGACTGGACACAGTCAGTGTCACAGTGACACACTTTTCTCATCTCGTGTACCTCACAGCCAGAGCTCGTACACTTTTCCATTCTGCTGCTCAGAGACTAGTGGAGAGGAGCCTTAAAAAAAAAAAGCTGACAGCTTTTTGCTGCAAGGTCAGGAAGAACTTTTGATATATAAACTTTTGCTGTAATGGAACCTAAACTCTGTGTTCTGCAGTCTTTGACAGTAAATGTAAGCTGGCTGCAAGGCTTTTATGGCAAACCCTAACTGGGTGTCCTGTCTGCATTCGAAGTGTTGAAGCCCCAGGAATTATTTTCCAGCTGTATTGGCAGATGAAGTCTGTAGGGGATGTTTCCTAAATGAAGAGTAATGAGCACTTTATCAGCACCGCGCAGTCCACACTGGGTGATTAAGTAGGTACTTCCAAAGCTTTTGGCTGTTTAGAAAAAAAAAGCGTCAAATAGGAGGAATCTGGAGGCAATTTGAACGGATTAAAAGGAATGGAATAAAATACTGTGTCTTTATCGTATCAGATAGATGTACAGTATAGGGTGTGAGAAGAAATTCTAGGGCAAAGGAAAATGTAGTGTGGCAAGACAGAGGATGAACGACAACAAAAAAAACCTGGAGGAAATTGGGAGAAAAAGTGAGCTTCCTCATCAATCAGTGAGGGCAGGACCAGATTGGTAAAGCAGACAGTGGAAGGAGAAATCAATACCGAGACGAAGGGTTCTCGCACACAGAGAAAGGACATATTGCATCCAGACTCTACTTCCTCTTTTCCAACATCCCACCCTGAGTCACTTTCTGAAGTTGCAACCTGGTGTCATCCGCTCTCCCCCCCCCTTCTGTCACTCTTCAGCTATCAGTATAGATTAAAAGACACACTTTCGTTGTTGTGTTTTATGATCTGGTAATGTGTCTTTTTTTTTGTCTCTGTGAACATGCAGGGCCATTTTTAGGTTCAGATGAGCAAAAGCAGTCGCCTATGCCTCATGCTGGTTGCACAGGAAAAAGATCAGGAGCAATAAATTGAATAATAATTATTTGCTATACATCAAAGTGTTTGCTCCTGGAATGACAGCTGTCAAAAATACCCCAGTGTGCTCCAAACTTTTGGCTGCGCATGGTTATGAGCGAGCGAACCACAAAATACATAAAAACAGTGTGAGTAGCTTGAGTTTATTATGTGACTGTGAGCCGCAGTGAACAATGCTAGCAGAGTGGCCATTTTGTATGTGTTTCAGTGACATGTTGCAGATAAAGACACCTACAGTGCTGTGTTTGTTGAAATGCTGAGGTTACATATCCACACTGATCTCTCTTAATATTATAGAAACTACTATACATAATACAAAATATTATAAGAAATTATTATAAGAACTTTGTATTTCCTTAATGTAGAAAATAGCTGTAAAACATATCTAGATTGAATGAAAATAAAATATTATACAATTCCAACAACTGTTATAAAATGAAAAGATTAGTCCACTCAAGGGCAATGGTGGCTGTCTGACCTAGGGCACTGCAATGTCTGGAAACGGCCCTGTGAATGTGTTTCGTCCAATTCTGTTTTACCCCACCGTGTATTCCAGTGTATCCTTTTATAATTTTCACAAGTCATTTCTTGGCCTCAGATGTTAAGTATAGTTAATGTTGCCTAGTTAGTTCAGCTAGTTTTTCACAGCAGCCATTATGACCATTAAGCCCTAAAATGAAAAGGAATGAAAAGATGTCACAAACATGAAGATCAGAGAGTGAAACTGCATGTTTTCAGTTCCTCTTGCTTTTAAACACTGCTTTGCCTAAAGAGAACAACATATCTAAAGCAAGTAAAAATGTGTGTTTGTGAATGAGGTTTTATGTGATTTCCATTTTAAAAAATTTTTTAGTTGAAACCCTTCAAAGCAACTAAGCCAAAAATACCAAAGATAAGTCTATGCATAATTTCTGGTATACTCAATGTGTATTCAAAATAAATATATATACTAAATAGGTCATTTTCCCCTCCTTGTGTGGAGAATTAAGGGGGAAAAACTGTTTGTCTGTTACTGCAGTCCGACCTTTGGCCTGACTGTGTTTGGTATTTCATAATGCTGACCTTTGATCACGACAGTCCGGGAAATCATTCTGAAATCTAAACAAATGATAACAATCACTGGTGCTTCTGTGTTAACAAACATGGAAGAAATATTGCAATTAAATGAATGGAACAAATATGAAGTGTAAGAAATTAGAGTTTAAACTACAGCCTTAAATGTACCATCTTTGATCAGATTGACTGTTTATACGTGTTTATTAAGCTACCTAGCTTGTAAGATATTATCACATTACAGAGATACTATCATCATTACATGGATACTATCATCATTACATGGATACTAAATCATTATGACTACTTGTATTACTTTCTTACAGAGAAACAAGTCTATATGTCTAAACTCTCTTATTATCTAATTCATTTTGAAATAAGTCATTACGGAGACAAAAAACGATAAATGTGTGGATTTTATTTTATTTTTTAGAAATGGGCAAAGTGTTATTCTATACTCTCACGTGTCTCTCTGCTCCTCTATGTCTGTATGTGCTTGCAATGTATTCTTACTGCATTTATCA